TGCCACATAGCCTGGCTTGACTCCATTCCTTGGCATCCCTAAAATAGTGGTGGATTGGTACCATGAACATCAAGAGAGGGTCTACCTTGATAATTCTGGGACATGGTGATCTATTTATTCCTTATAAGAACACATAAACTAAGCATACACATTGCTTTTGGGCTGGAATGGAATAGAGTCTCTCAGCCTGTGTTAAAAGGGGACGTCCTGAATGGCAGGGGCTGTCTGTTGAAATCACGTCTAAGCGCCCCTATCTGTTGTGAAGGCTCTGTCTGTGTGAGCAGCCTCCAGCAAACAGTGCCACAGTGGGGGGCTGCCTGCTTTCTGGACAGAGCTCAGCACTGATGTGAGTCTCCCTCACAGCCACAGACATTGCTCTGCTGGTAAACTGTGGATTTGGTTATGTTCCTTGCAAGACAGCTAGAACCCATTAGTCAAAAGCAGTTGAGACTCAGGGATGATGATAGCTTGCAGTGGATCTGAATTAAAGGTTGTCTTAGCGTTGTAGGGAAAAGAGGAATAAGAATAACAAAATCTGATACTTACAAAATGCCTGAGAGAGATTTTGGTTTTGTATTCTTGGCTGTAAGTGGACATGGCTAATAGGAACTATAAGAAGTAAGACTAAATCTTTTTTTGCTTTGTTTTGTTTTACTTTCATAGTGTTGAAAACTAGAAGTTTTGGGTGATGTAATTTAATGAATTGATGAAAATCTTAATGCTAAGTATTAGTTTACTAAGAATATAATAATACTAAATGCCTCAAGCTTTATATGTAAATACATGCTTATTCTGGGTCTTGCCCTATGGCAGTTAGAAGGGCGCCTCTTTTCCCACACATCCAGATCCAAAGTAGTACAGGAAGGGACTGTTGTGGTCCGACCAGGCTGGTGAGCCCTTCTCAGATGGAGGAAGGTCTGTATCCAACAGCTGCCTAGATTACTTACACAGTAGTGCTAATCACGTGATAGATTTGTGTGTTTTTATCTCTTCTCTCAGTTTTTAAAGGGAGTTTATAGATTGGCTTACATGAGTTGAGTTGGGTAGTGCAGCAATGGCCAGATGCACACTGGAGAGGCTGAGCACCTGGTGCTTGCTCGGCACACAAGGATGGATGCCTCAGCAGTTGTCATCTGGTGATGAAATTCTGGAGAATTCTTGGAAAGCCTCTGGCCTTTGGTTTATGCTCGAAGGCTGAAGAAGCTGGGTTCTGCTGGCAGTGAAGGATGCCAGCAGTAGCAGCAACAGGGTAGATGCTCATAGGCAGGGAGAGAAGGCACACAGGCAAAGGCATCATTGTTTTCCCTCAGATCACCCACTCGGGGGAGGTCTTCCGACATCATGTGACCCCTCTAGGCACTACCCTTAGTGGTCTGGTCAGAGTGTGTCTTTTAGTTTATCTAGACCCAGCGGTGCTGGTAATCAAGAGCAGTCATCAGAAGCTCACCCCTTGTCATCTTGATCCCTCATTGTATCTGCTTATGTCATACTTAATTTCCAAATGAAAAAATAGCGGCCATAATTCTACCTAACATGATATAACTACCCTACACTTAACTAAAAATACTGTTATTAACAAAATAGGACAGAAACTTTCACGGCAATTAGAATTTCATTTCTGTAACTGGTCATTTGGCCTTAACTGGTATTTGTACTACCTTTTCCTAATAACCATTCTGCATTTCCTTCACTCTCGGCAAGCAGCTCAGCATGTCTTGCTTGGTTCATTATCTGGAGGGGTGACTCACACCTTCATTCCTATAAACTATGGGTCATTTGTCATCTTGCCTGTTTTGAGTTGTAGTTTCCCACTGACCTTAATCATAGGATGCCGTGCCACCAAGAGATGCCATAATGTCTGCTCTGGATACACCTTTTTCCACTGTGAAGAAACTGTCCAGTTTCCTCCTGATGGCCTGGATGAATCATCCTGTCCAGCACTCTCACTTTCCAGCCTGTTGATTCAGGGGTATCAGAACTGAAAGTGGCCAGGAAGCAGTCTCAGCTTCCAGTTAAGCTGTGCCTCTCGCAGGAGCATTTCCTCTCTGAGAATCAGAATATTTGGCCAGCAGAGCCTGAGGTCAAGCCAAACTTTTGCTAGTGGGTCACCAAGGATGATGGTACATCCCCATTTCTCCCCCTTCATTCCAGGACCCCAGAACCCTGCCTGGAGGAGAAACAATAGCATGTAGTGGGTACTGATGTAGCCTGCTGGAGAACCCTGCTGTAAGCCTCCAGTCTGTTGCTACCTAATTGGCATTGCTACTGTGTCTTTAAAAGACCTTCCCACCATTTTGTTAAGTCACCATCTTGCTTCTTTGGCTATGAAGTGAGTTCCTGCTCAGAAGCAATACTGTAGGGGGTACTGTAACTGTGATAAGGCATTGTGTAAGTTAATGGGTGGTCATTTGGGCAGAACTGTGTCCAGGAAGGCAAACCCACACCCAGAAGTATCTGGTATCTTTCCAGTTAGGACCTGTCCCACCAGGCCCCTTGGTTCTTCACCCCGGGATGATGTGCCTTGGGGGCTTAGTATCGTTAAGTAGACATTTACATTGTTAAAGCCTTGTATGGCCTCCATCCCTGTCACTGTAGCCATTTTGTCCATGTGGCTGTTGGGCAGTACAGGAACATCAGGGAAGAGGCTGGCTATTGTCCATAGACTGGGCTGTCCTATCTACTGATCATTGTTTCCTCTGCTGAGGTAATCTATTCAGAATTTACATGTGAAACAAATATCTTCACGTCCCTTGCATAGTTGGGGAGATTTATCCACATAATTCTCTTTTAGCTGTCTCTCACCAATTTTCTAATGCTGTGTCTTTGGAATTTCCCACCACTCAGCTACATGGCCACAGCTCACAAATCTCTATCTATATGTACATTGTTTCTCCTTCTAAGCAAAACATACAGTCATGTGCACTGTGCCAAGATTTGCCTGTTATGAAGAATTCCCATCGGAGTTGTCCCAGAAAAGGGTTCCAATGCTGCAGCTGTCCACTTCTGGGTGGTACCTGCATCGGCTTACTGTGGCGGCCATCAAAGGTGCCTAGTACCATCTCTGTCTGCCCCTGATCCCTCGGTCACTGTTGGGACTGCTGGGTCATAGAACCCAAGCAGCAGGAGAGCCCATGCAGCAGTGGGGACCCGTTGAGGAGCTGCTTTCTGTTCTGGGCCACACTTAAGTCCCATGGTGTTTGGGCCATTGTAACACAGCAGAGTGAGGGTGTGCTGCCTCCAGAATCCAGGGAGCCCCACTCAGCAGTGGGAAGGGATAGGAGCAACCACTTTTTCTTCCCCTGGAAATGCCACTGAGACGGAAGGCCCTTGAACTTTGGTTGGACTGCAGATACACATTCTTTACCAATAGGTTCAGAGTGGTTGTTCCCTCCTGCTCCCTTGGCCCAGTTAGCATAATGCCATCAACATGGTTAGACTGTTTTGATGCCATGTGGGAAACACAAATGATCAAATCTCCATGAACTGAGTTGTGGCACAGGGCTGGAGAATTCGTATTGCCCTTGAGGTAGAAGAGCAAGAGAATTGTTTCTCCTGGTCCTTAAGAACAGGTATTGAGATAAAAGTATTTGTGAGGTCAATAGCTGCTCAGGCGAGGATAGCGCTATGGCATCTGCTGCAACAGCTGCCATTGGAGCCACAGCTTGACTGAGTTTGTGATCCTCCTGTCACCTGCCTGAGAACCGCAACCCGTTGAGGAGCTCCCAGAGTCAGTTCCGTAGTGAGCCCCTGTCTAATAGGCTCTGACAGACAGGTCTGGATATTTCCTTTCCCCACTTATAAAAGGGGAGGATGGGGGTGAAAGATGGAAGAAGAGTAGTAAACCTCCCCACTCTTACAGTGGGGCCCTTCCTTATGGGGGCATGGCCTCCCTTCATTCAGGGGGTTCTGCTCTATAAACTAGCTGAAGTCTAGAAATTGGTCAAGGTGCTGTGAATGTCTGTTGCTGATTCAAGACAGCCATTCATTTAGTATACAATTTTCCTGCTTATATAGCTGAGGCAGGAGCTTAGGCCTTCAGTTTGTTTCACTTCTGGGAGTGTCATGGTTGATTACCCAGTGCCAAAGGTCTGCACAAATCAGACCATTATGAACATTGCTTTGCCTACGTCGTCCTTTGTGATGAGTGAGCTCACCTTGCCTCTGGCGGTTCTGTGTGGCCTCTGGTGGTTCAGTACCGCCTCTTGACCCTTGCTGCTCTGGGATTTTGATCCACTGAATTTGAGTTGTCCCGCTGTGCAGCCACGACCGGCACTGTCAGGTCTGGCATACAGAGAGAAGCAATGACGGCTCCTCAGATGTGCTGGCTCCCCTCTCACAGCCTGTCTGTTGCAGTGCTAGTGAAGAGCTTGTCTCCTCTCCCTCCCCTACCCCCATTGTGGAGGGTTAGGTTTTACATAGCAAATCCTATCCAGCCTTCCAATGTCTTCATCTAAACCAAGCCAAGGCATATCAGTCTGCTCCAGCTAATTGACACTAGACCGCCTTCTGATTCACGTTTCAGCCTACCAGCCAAATCAACTGTTGTTGACACCTTTCCAATTATGTCAGCTAAAATATTAAACCCAGGGCCTGTGCTCACTGATCCCATACATTTTTTCCAACCTGGGCCGGTTCACCCCTCCTTAAGGCAGGCTGGTGGTCCCCTGTTGCTGGGAGATCACCATATTGATGCCAAACTTATTGCGGACATCTGATCAGCATAGCTCATTACAGCCCTTAACTCCTGCACTCATGTGACCCTCCTGTCTCAGCCTCCTGAGTAGTTGGGACTACAGGCATGCGCACTGTGCCTGTCAGGCATGCGCACCTTTAATGTGCTTCCTTAAAGAACATGTTCTCTGAAGACATGTAGGAAAATAGTTCTAACAAGCCGGGGCCACCCTGAATGAGGTAACAGCGTCTGGATTTTCTCTGTGATTGTATTCAGTCCTGAACGTGAAGATGCTAACAGTGCTGCTGACCTTTCTTTGCTCCTCTAGATATTCCCGAAATTCCAGAAAGCATCTCCTTCTGTAAAGCCCTGCAGGTAGCCGACTTCAGTGGAAACCCCCTCACCAGGTAACCTTTCTACTTCACGTACCTAGTTACAGTGCTTAGTTACAGTGCTCGGGGTAGCATGTCTGACAGCCTGGCGAAGGAATATAACCTGGGTGGGGGGCACTGACCCCGCCAAATAGGATTGACTTTTAGTGGGTTGATATATGCAATGGAAGAGGGCACACTGGTATTGATGGAATTGTTAGAACGGAGGACAAGGAGTTCATGACGACTGTTAAAGCAGAAATTAAAGAACACGTTTCTGAGTAGCATGAAGTAGCTTAAAAACATTCTCAGTTGGGTCGACAAGATGGCTCAGCAGGTAAAGGCACTTGGCAGCAAACCTGATGATGAGAATCAGTTCCTGAAACTCACATAGTAGAAGAGAGCTAGCTCCTGTGGGTTGTCCTGCTGTCCTCTGGCCTCACATACACACCATGTCACAGGTATCTGCACTGTGGTGTGTGCGTGCACGCACGTGTGTGTCACTAAATAAATGTGAAAAATAAAATAAAAATCAGTTCCCAATTCATCTCCTGACTTGTAGGATTAGACTGAGGCCAGAGAGTTTCCCCTGTGTTTACCCAGGAAGTCGATTCCCTTTATTGACCTTGGGGCTGCACAGTTACTAGGCACGTGATCTTCTACTGAGTTATACACCCAGCCAGAGAAGTCTTACTTTCTACACTGCAGTAATGAAACATTTATAACATCAACGTTCTGTTCAAAAACACATACTCACACACACAACCCCCCCCCCCCCAAAGACAGGGTTTCTCTGTATAAGAGTTCTGACTGTTGTGAAACTGGCTTTTGTGACAATGCTGACTACAAACTCACAGAGATCTGTCTGCCACTGGCTTCCAAGTTCTGGGACTAAAGGTGTCTGTCACCACCGAGCTACAGAAACCTTCCTGACACCATTATTTCCTTACTCTTGCAGTAGCTGTGGGGTTTCCTTAGGGTTCTCATTCTGAGTGTGGCCCCTTGCCCCATTTTACTACTTCCTGCCTGTGTGTGGCTGGGGGCCACTGTCCTGACTTTCCTTGGGGCCTGCCTGAGTTGGGAGTCCACTGCCTCCTGCCTCCAGGTGCCTGTGTTGCCAGGATAAATGAATTGGTACCCATACAGCAATGCAGAGACGACTCTTGGGTGTGTGTTCTAAAGGTTTCTCTGGGCCAGTGAGTCCATTTGTAGGATTTTTCAAGACTCTGCACATAGCTGTTCCCTTTGAAATTGAGCTGGATTTATCTTACTCATTTTAAAATTGAGACTCCCTGAGTATGGAACAATTCCCTATTTAATTTTGTTTCACCCATATCTCATTTCCAAGAATTAGATGTTTTTATGATGTTTCTGGTTTCTCTGTTTTGGATTTCAGTGACTGATATTCTTATCAATTATGACTGAAAAAAATAACAATCTCTTATGCTACATAAATCTAATACCTTTTTTAACTCATTACTGTCCTCAAGCTGTGTCCTGTGTCCTAGTAACCTTCACACAGTGATTTCTTCTCAGAACCTCTCTTGTTTTGTGCTCCCCCAGTGCTTCGAGGGCCTCCTCCGCTGCCGTGTGCTTCAACAGCCTCTACCCTGATTGTCCTCGGCTGCCCTGTCAGTCTCTGAGTACTCATGAAACACTTCGGTTCCTTTCCCAGCACCCCCCTCCCGCCTGACAGTTCTCATCTTTCCCCTTCCTTCAACCTGGGGAGAGCACCCTGCTTTCTCCCTGATGCCCCTCTGGTCTTCCACAGCACCCTCTCTGCACTGTGTTTCCATAGCACTTGACATTTACACGTAAGCTGTCCCTCTAATAAAGGCTCCCCCGCAGACACAAGGAAGTGACTTGCATTTCTCTGTTATTATCGAGTCTCCAGCCCAGCTGTAGTTCTCGAAGGATGTGCTCAGGGAGCGGAGCTTTAAGGCAGCTTATATGGCTTGGCAAGCTGGGATGCTCTGGCTGCTGCAACCGAGACCTCGCCACTCAGTCACCTAAATCGCCTCTGCTTTTCTCTTTTCTCCTCCCAGTGTCTGTTAACATTGTCTCCGCGATCATCCGAAGGCGCTCTCAGCTAGAGCACACTCCGGTTCTGTGAGGCTTTCACTCCTGCTTTTATCCTGGCCTCCTCTGTGACAGGATCCTTAGAGAAAAGGATCATTTCAGTTTGGCAGGTGTCCTGACGTTAAGAATTAAGATGTTATCTGTGAGCTTGAAGGGGACTCAGAAATTGCTTAGCTTGGCACACTTAGTGTATGGCTGGGGAGGGAGCCTCAGCTAGATGAGCAGACTTCTAGACCCTGCAGCCACTGCGAAGAGTGCTAGAGCCTTCTCACCCGGTTTCTGCCCCTCGCCCTGCTGCATGCACTCGTCCGTGCCACCCTTACCTAAGCCAGCAGCTGGCAGAAGGGCAGACCAGCGAGCTAAAGCATTTCACTAGCTTTAGGAACATTTTTGGTATTTTTAAGATTATAAAGGAATATATGTGCCTGACAAAACTCCAGTCAGGCCAAGTAAGTTTTGTCTTTTGAATAATAAGTAACAATCTTCAGCAAGTAGTTCCCAATAACGTAATAAAACATTCCTGTTGATGCCCTGTTCTTAGGTACCTGGATTTTGAGTTTTGAATTATGAAATTAACTTATATTACATGTCAAACATTAATACAGGATTTCTTTTTTTAAAAAAAAATATAAACATACCTAGCAAAAGAAAAGACAAGTATAGTGATGTATTTATATTATATATATATATGATGAAGTATAGTCATGATTTTCCTCTAAATACGGATAACTAGGAATATTGAAACTAGAATTTCTCTCTCTCTCTCTCATTTTGTTTTTTGAGACAGGGTTTCTCTATAGCTTTGGAGCCTGCTTTGAAACTAGCTCTTGAAGACCAGGCTGGCCTTCAACTCACAGAGATCCGCCTGCCTCTGCCTCCATTCTTTGTAAATTTTAAAATCCTTACCATTTTGTGGAGTTTGAGACATTAAAGTGCTTTTTTTTTTTTTTTTTGGATTTTCAAGACAGGGTTTCTCTGTAGTTTTTGTGCCTGTCCTGGAACTAACTCTTGTAGACCAGGCTGGCCTTGAACTCACAAGAATCTGCCTGGCTCTGCCTCCCCAGTGCTGAGATTGAAGGCGTGAGCCACCACTGCCCGGCTGTTAAAGTGCTTTTATATGGACCACGTAGTGAAAGATAAAATTATCTTAAATGAGTGACATCTTGAATTAAAAAGAAGTTAAGACAGCAAAGCAGTTGGCCGCAGCCCATCAGTGTAGAGTAATCCTTTGCTCTGGGCATTCTGAGCGACAAGGGGGAGACTATTGAGCAGCTGTCCTGAGGCTTAAAACCCTCATGGGCTAGCTAAATTCTTTCTGCAATTTCTTCTAATCAGGGCAGTGTTTTCATTCTCAACAGGATTTCGTTTTGTTTTGTTCCTTAGGATGTTCTTCTTTTTTGTTTGCGGTGTGGTCAGTGAGACTGTGGTCAGTATAGCCTTGGCTAGCCTGGAACTCACAAAGACCTACTTACCTCTGCCTGTGAGCCCTGGGATTAAAGGTGTGTGCTGTCACACCCGGCCAGATCCTTGGAGGTTGGGCTCCAGCAGCAGCAGCAGCATCTTTCTTTCTCCTAGAACGCCCAGCACGCCTTAGCACCTTCTCTTTAGTAGGCCATGTGCATCTGGGCATCCCTCTCTCGGTACCGGCAGGGCCTGTGCTTCCTTCTGTAGATAGGGCCGTCTGCTTTTGCTTATAGGTGTAATATATATAGGAAGCCAAGGCGAGTATTCCATAATAAAAGGTGATGCAGGAGGCTATTGCAGCCGCCAACTGCGTGGAATAAGTCTGTATTTACACTCGGCGTGCACTGCATTACTCTTGAAAATTAACGTTGTTGTTGTTGTTGCTGTTGTTGTAGGTTGCCAGAGAGCTTTCCCGAGCTACAGAACCTAACGTGTCTTTCTGTAAATGACATCTCACTGCAGTCTCTGCCAGAGAATATCGGGAAGTAAGTTTTTACAGACGTCTGTGAGTGCTGGGGATGAGAGGGAGCTTGTCAGCCCCACCCTCTGCCTTTACAACTGTGGAACACAGCACCATTCGCCCTCCTTCAGTATCTCCGTCAGGAAAGATGAAAGTCAGCCTTTCGTTTGTGTGTGCTCCTCTGTGTGAGGAGGCCAGAGGACAATGGAGGTTAGGTGTCCTCCCTCGCTGTCACTCTCTAGTCTATTCCTTTGGGACAGGGTTTCTCAGGGAGCCCGGAGCTGAGCTGGTGCCCAGCAATCCCCAGTGGTTTCCATCTCCGCCTCTGTCAGCACTGGGGTTTCAGGCATACACTTGGCCACGCCCAGCTTTTTACATTCTGGGATTCAGATTCTCATTCTTGTTGAGCATGTGTGTCTACACTTACCCACTGAGCCATTTCTCCAGTGCCCAGCTGTCCCTAGATTTTAATGATTATAAACTGTACTGCTGGTTTTTATTTGTAAGAAATCTAGTTTGTTTGAAGTTTTGTTTTTAAAGTATGTGTGTGTATATGTATATGCCATGTGCTTGTGAGTGTTCATAGAGGCAAAAGAGGGCATCAGGCTCCCTGGAACTGCTTGATATGGATGCCGGGAATTGAATTCTGGACTCCATTTGCTTGGAATTTAGGCCAACACTGGACAAGTGATACCTCATGAAACTAAGAAGTTCCTGTACAGCAAAGGAAACAATCAGATGAATGAAAACGAAGCTCACAGAGCGCGAGAGAAACTTTGCCAGCTATACAGCTGATAGATCAATATCCAGAATATGCAAAGAACTCCAAAAGCAAAGAGTCAAGAAAATGACCCAGTTAAACAATGGACTATGTCTCTGAACAGAGCGTTCCTAAGAGAAGAAATAATAGCTAAGAAATACCTTGTTCAAACTCCTTTAATAAAAAGCAGTCAGAGAGGTGGGGTGGGGGAAAAGTGAAGGTAGTGGGAACTGGGATTGGTATGTAAAATGCAAAAAGATAATGTCTTTTCTTTTTAAAAAAAAATAAAATTCAAAAAAGAAAAAAAAGCCAGTCAGGGAAGATGGCAGTTTTATCAACAGAACCTTAACAGAGACCTTTCCATACTTAGAAACTGGTGTGGTGACCTAGCAAATGCCCTGCCTTTGCAGGGCGGCCTTCTTATCTTATAACCGGAAGCCAATGCAGTGTCTAGCCTGTTGTTTTTCACCAAATGTGAAGCAAAATGTTTGGAATGATTAAGTATTGCCTGTGTTGTATTGCATAAAGGTAATTAAGTATCATCAGCTTAGTGCTCTCCAAAGAGAAGGGTGGTGGTGTAGCAGCATACATTGTAGGGTTTCTTATTTTTAATAAAAAAAATTAAAGCTGAGCATGGTGGCGCACACCTTTAGTCCCAGAGGCAGAGGAACTTTATGAGCTTCAGGCCTGCTTGGTCCACATAGTGAGTCTCAGGACATCCAGGACTACAAAGTAAGACCTGTCTTAATTGTGTGTGTGTGTGTGTTATATAATCATATGCATGTGCAAATATATAACCATATATACACATATATATGTATAATTTTCTTTCATCTCCTATAAAATTTTACGTATATTTTTAATATGAGCAATATATTGGTATATAATGCATTATATTTAAAATAATAAATGCTAGGACTATAAAGGTCTACTGTAGGTGTGTGGAGAGCACCCTTTTATTAGATGATTGTTAGGGTGTTATCTAAGCTCTGCACCAGCGCTTCACAAACTTTGCTTTTCTGAGCTTTCAGTGGGTTCTGTTGAAGTCTTCCCAGATCGCTCTGGGAAGTGAGAACCAGTGCTTGGGTAATCTCTGCGGATCTTTGTGTTTGTCAGCTCTGCTTTTGGAAAGTTGGCCACACACATGTTTCTAGTTAAACTTGGGGCCTGCAGTTTCAGACCTTTGTTAGCATGCATACCTACATGCATGCAGTGTGCAGATTTTACTGTGCTGCAGATCCGTGTATAAACCAAGCAGAAAACTCCAAAGCCTTTCATACAGATGAACATTTAAGTCTGTCCGGTACCCTCTCTTTCCAAACCGGCTGAAGTCTATTCTTCATGTAAAGGTTAAAAGCCTTTTTCTTTGCCACACCTTCCATAATGGCGGACCGAGGTGACGTAGATCCCTGACCTGCCACTTACTCCCCTTACTGTAATCGCTTCAGTTCAGTGTCTATGCAGAAAAGACTAGGTGTGGGTGTTCAACTGTGAGTCTATAATCAGTGCATGTACCTGCGTCACGACTCCAGCTACATTAGGCATCATGGGTAGCACTCTTCTTTCCCTGCTGGGTGGACACCCACAACGGAACACACTCCTCAGCACAACGAGACCTCGTAGGTCCTAGACGAGGAATCCTGGGAATCTCCGCGAGAACTGTGTTAGCCTGTCCCTATGCAATGCCCTGCACTCAGCTGCTGTAAAAAGTGGTTCTGAAGAAGAAACTATGGAAAGCACAGCTTCTTTTGCTGTAAAACTTTGTAATGAAGAATAATAAGTATTGTCTATTAATACTTCTTAATTTTTCTGATATAAGGAGTTATGAGGGAGAAAGGCGGTTATTTTTAGGGAAAGATATCTACCAGAAGAATGGGAAGCTTGTCTCATTTTGGTAACAGTTCTGACATTTCTCACATTTACTTCTCTGCCTTTGTTGCCAGGAAGCTTAAAGCTGCTTCCGACGTGCAGTGAAAGGCAGCAGGGAACGGACTTGTGTGCAGCGAGGGAAGTCGGGAGCAGGGTGAGGTGTTGCTGGCAGCTGCAGCGAGGCAGGTGCTCCCCAAGTGCTTGTGCCGCCCCTGCAGCACCCTTGCTCCCCAGGCGGGCACCGGCCACCCTGCGTGCAGTCAGCATTTTCTGCGCTGTGCGTGGTCGAGTTAGCTGGGGAATTTGAGTCTTCCCCTGCAGATACGGCTGTCTTTAAATTGCACGGTTCTCACAGTTGGCACATTTTGTTTCTTCCTTCTTCCCAGGGTCTTGGTGTCTTAGGTCCCAAGTCTTTCTGTGCATCTGCACTTTGCCCCTGCTAGGATGGTTTTCAGAAAGGTACACGGTAGCAAGTGTCTTTGCATAGTTAGAGGAGTTGAAACCTTGCCTCCTGCTGATGGGAAAGTCCAACAGTACAGCGCTACTGCAGCAGTGCGGGCAGTTTCTCTCCCGGGCTGAACTTAGCTCCCACAGAGCCCAGCTGATCTACCCGTATTAAAGACATGTCCATTCAAAAATCTGCTGGTGAGTTCATAGCAGCGTTCTTCATAATACCTCAAAGTAGAAACCATTCAGACTTGGATCCATGAGAGAATGGTCAGCAAATGTACATTGGTCAATAAACGGCTATAAAAGAAATGAAGTACCACTACATGCTGCAACATGAATGAACCCTGAAAAGATGTTTAGTTAAAAAAAAATTAGAAAAAGCCAGACACCCAGAGGTCACATGCCATTTGATTCTGTTTATGCAGAGTAACAAGTATGGTCAAGTCTCTAAGAAAAGAAGCTAGTAGTTGCTAGAGGCTGAAGGGTAGAACAAGTTTGAAGAATATGGATAGAATTTTAATGAATTCTTCTAGTTATATGTACTCAGAATTAAAAACATGTTCATACAAGAATGACTTTAATTCTTTTGGAAAGGATAAACATTTTCTGGAACTAGTAATAATATTTGTATAGCTTGTGAATAAAATGTGCTAAAAACATAGAATTGTACACTCCGGAAAGAGAATTTAATAACTGATGGATTGCTCTGAGGTCACTAGTCCAATTACTTGCCCCTGGCGAGCAAGTAGTTACCTGTGTCCAGTCGTTACAGTTCTCAGGTGATGCAGAGTGGGGGTGAAGGTCGGAGGAGACTGAGACCCCAGGGAACTAGCAGGGCCTGCTAAGGACTTGGGAAGCCTGTGGCCCAGAATTGGGCAGGATGCTCTTTGTCTTGACCTTGTGTAACTTTTCCATGAAACGGTCATGTTCTTGAAATGTAAAAAAGAAGTCAGCGTAAGCGTGTTCCCTGCTCCTTTAATTAAAATTTCTCCGCAAAATGAAGCGTGCCTAGAATAGCAGAATTGTCTGTGATGAGCTAGTGTAGTTCCCAGCACAGCCGTCGGTCACTGAAGAGCTCTTATCAGTAAACATGTAATTATGATAATTTGGTGGTAGAAATAGAATGAGTTGGCAGGCCTTAGTTAGGTTCCCTGGCAGACTGAGCTAGAACATGTGGATCTGGTTTTGTCTGTGCTGTCCTTGCAGCCAGTGACCTTGATTTCAGTGAACTTGAACTAAGCAGGCCTTGAGGCCTTGACTGGCAAAGCCTTGTGCTAGACTGCTTGGCTGTGGTGTGACAGAAGAGAAAAACCTGTGAGAAAACTGTTACCATATTAAACATTCCTTTTTGAAGCCTGAAAATTGCTGTAAAATGTTGTTTCAAAATCAAAAATATATATCTTTTTTTAAGTTAGTGGTCTGGAGGCATAGGTTGTTGGTAGAGTACTTTCAACAGCAAAAGTATATATTTTTTCACTCAACTGTAAATGCTTGTAGATTTTTTTTATGATTTTGCAGTATATTGTTATTTGTTTGGCATAAGTATCTTTTATTCTGTTTTCTAGATGATTTGGTAATGAAAATGAGGGGGAGAACCAAAATGGTTTTAAAAGAGTATTATTTAAAACAGTTATAAAAATGTGAATTTCTCAAAATAGTCACTCATTCAGTCACTTGAAATAGAATCCTAAAAATGCAGTAGGCCTTCATTCTGACTTAGAGAGAGTAACTTCTGCCTTGCTGTTCCGAACTGTCTGAAACAGGAGCGATCGCAGGAGGCAAGGCTTCCTGTGCCTCCAGCAGGCTCGTTAGCTTCCCGCCCTGCCACTGCTTGAAGGCAGGCGCAGTGCTAGTGGCAGGTGCTAGTGGTGGGAGGCAATTGTGCCCTGGAGGACAGTGAGGCCATCCCAGCATGTAACTTGCCAGTACTGAAAGTTGAAAGGTGA